AAGTCTTCCTTCTTAACCCTTTTTAATTTGATGCCTTAAAAGTATTTCCAAAAGTCTTCTTTCTTAAACCTTTTTAATTTGATTCTTTAATGCCTTTAGTTTCGTACCCGTATTGTAATATTTCATTTCTTTTACCAATTTAATTGAGTTAAATTTTCAAACAGGTGGCAACCCTCCTCAAACATATTTTGGACTGTAAGCCTTCTTAAAAATTTTAAGTTTTATACCCAAATTACCGTATTTCATTTATTTTATCAAAATAACTTCGCTTAAATTTTCAAAGAGGTGGCAATTTTATTCAAAAATATTTCCAGCATTTATCTTTCTTAAACCTCTTAAATTCAATATCTATATTGTAATATATCATTTAGTTTATCAATTAAATTGCGCTAAACTTTTTAACAGTTGGCAACCCTCCTTTAAAATATTTTCGACTGTAAGCCTTCTTAAAACTCTTTAGTTTGACACCCACATGGCAATATTTCATTTATTTTATCAATTTGACTGCGTTAAAATTTTCAAATAGGTGGCAACCCTCCTCAAAAATATTTCCAACAGTTATCTTTCTTGACCGTCTTTAATTTGATACCAATATTGTAAGATTTCATTTATTTTATCAGTGTAGTTTAGTTAAACTTTCAAACAGGTGGCAACCCTTATCACACATATTTTCGGCTGTAAGCCTTCTTAAAACTCTTCAATTTGCTACCCACATTGCAATATTTCATTTACGTAATCAACTTAACTGGGTTAAAATTTTAAATTAGGTGGCAACCCTCCTCAAAAATGTTTCCATCAGTAATCTTTCTTAAACCTCTTTAATTTGATACCCATATTGTAATAACTTATTCATTTTGTCAATATAATTGGGTTTGAAAATTTTCAAATAGGTGACAACCCTCAAATTTTTTTCGGTATCATTGGTTCTGGTATTATACTGAACAGTACAAAAAAAAATTATTCAAATCGGTTCAGCCGTTCTCGAGTCTTGACGACCGTGACATACGAACACAACATTTTTATTAATATAGATTATATTTAGTTATTTAGTTTTCTTCTCTAACGTTACAACATTGTTTTGTGTTCTTGTTGCTTTCATTTTTCATAACTTTTCAAGAATTTTTTTTATTGTGGATCCGAAAGACGTCTCTAAATTCAGATTCTTTGTCCGGAGGCAAAAATACTCCTGGCTACGATTCTCCAAAGTGGACACGTTCGATCCTCGTGTTTTCCACGTGGAAGTTAAAGTCTGCCTGCTTAGAAAAATATCGCTTAATGTTCAGACATTTGATCTTCACGCCATCAGCTCTAAAATCCAAAGAACGAAATTAAAACCCACGCTTGAGTTGAGCCCTTTGACGGTCTGTCAAAAATTTGGAGATAAGCCTAACTTGAACTCTTATACCTCTGCATAACAGGCTGGCTCATATTAAAAAGAACTACTTCTCTGGCTGCTAGTTTTCAACCATAACAAAGTAGCGTTCAGAATCACTTCCCTACAAGACGCGAATGACTAAAACTCCAACACATTCACAAGTAAAATTAATACATATGCAAAAATGTATATGCCAGTCGAGTCGGGTAGAACAGTGACAATCATTTTACCTGCCATATGATTGACAATGCTGATAGAATAGGATTTTTTTTCGGTGACTATCATTTGACCGGTCATATGATTGTCACTGATGATGGAAAGGTTCACAAGAAAAGAAAATATGTATATCATTATAAATCACAATAAAAAAATCTAGAAGCGAAAGGACGCGGTCGAAAGTATTACCGAGAAAGTGCTAAGAAATAAACGATAAGTATTTAGAAAAAAAAATTAAAATGTTTTATAATTAAACAAAAAATTTGAATAATGTTATGAGCAGAGAAAAGCTCATGTTGTTTAATATGACGTCGAAACCCATGAATTGTGATCAGTCATATTTGACCAACTTTTATAACAAGTATGATTTGTCAATACTGACCTAAGATCCCATCAAGCATGATTATTCATTTGTGACCAATGTTTATATCATTTATGATTCACATGTATACGATTTTTTCCATCAAATTTTGCACATTGCCCTTAATATTTTGATAGAAACTTTCATACAAAGTAATGACGAGTATTTCTGTCAGGATTGTCCGTCATTTTACCGGCCAAATGATTGTCACTGTTCTTGCAGGGTTTTAATTTGGCAATTATCAAGATCACACTTCATAGTAAAAAATTAATAACAATTATGGTAATAAAAAGCAAACAAAATAAATTATAACAGATTAGGAGCTGATGTATTTAGTTTTAGAATATATGTAGCGAACTTAATAATCGCAAAGCAAACAGCTGTGACATGAATTACTAAAAGAAGTAAACAAAAAGAGGAAAAGAAATTTGCAAAAATAAAAACAATTTCAGTTAACTATGCCATGATGTATGCTAGTGAAATTTAATTAAATTTAATATAAAACACAAAACTTTCACTTAGCTTCGATTATTTTCACACTAAGATGCTTGCAGGCACTTTTTGTAACAACTTTAACTCAGAATTCGCACAATAAACTTTGCAAATAGAAAGACAAATCAGAGCACAATATAAGTTTAACCTCACAGCCTGACGTTTTCGAATCGATTATCCGCATTACTACCGTCTGTAAGGGTAAAATTATTATGCGCATATGTGTGCCAGATTATATGCATAAGCTTTGTCGTCAGTCACAGCTTTTAGACAAAGTCCCAACATATAAATCGTACATAGATATGAATAGGTATACATACATACATTAAAGGGAGTCGAAATCCTGTTTGTTTTCAAATTCGTTTTTAATAGAGCAATGGTATTTTTAATATGATTTAAATTCCAGATAAAGGAAAAAATTTAAATTAGTTACCAAAACATAAATACTTCAAACCATTGGCCTAATGCCTTTCGGGAAATGAATACCACTATTTTTTTTGTTTGCGTGCAGAATTTGTCCATTTAAAATGTCGAGCAGTTTTATCAAATAATGTCAAATTCAAGAACACATAGATACCTATGTGGCAAATATTACGAAAAGTCTGTTTGACTTCCAAAACGTCAATTGCATTGCATACGTTCAAAGTTTAATGTTCCATAACGCCGAACTGCAATTGGTTGACAATTACCACGTTTATATGATGCTTCAATTCGTTCTAAGTCAAACCATGTTATATCGACACACACATGTAAACACATTCTCTAATCGAATTGAAACTTTTAACCGTGCCACGATAAATCACATTTTGAATGCGAGTTAAGAGTTGTTGAATCGTGTTAAGAGTGCATATAAACACGGAATTTTACCACACGGTTGTTTCATGCAATGTATAAAGTAAACCATTTAAATAGTTCTTGAATAACATTTATGCTAAGCTTTGTTATAAAATTAATAGCTAAGATAATTTTTACAAGGCTGTTTTACTCCTTGATTGTTATTTTTCACTGTTCATTATTTTCAAGAATTTACACATGTATTAACAGGGTTGCATCGGGATAAACTCTGTTTGAAAGTGTGTGCGATCGACTCATTTCTTGTGTTGCATATATACACTTACATTTCAAGCGAGCTACGCTGACACGTGTCAATTCAAAACCGGATTTAATGCTGTACATGTAAACAAGGTAAATGTATACTTTTTCAAAACGCATCCGAAAATTTATCGAAACGCATCGCTAGAGTAATCAGCGCAACAGAAACAAAGTTGATGCTATGTTTGTTTTTGGTTACCATTGGTGTTTTAAAAATGGAAAATACCAAAATAGTGATCATTGTTTTATTAAATATTCAAAATATGCAATATTAATGGTTGCGTTGCAATGTTTCGCAACTCTGCATATACATACAAACAGGGTAAATCAGGGTTTGAAATTGCTTGACTATTTTCAATGCATTCGCAGTTGCTTAACTACGACTAACACAAATAAATCAGCAAAAGCGAAAAGGAAAAATGATCTCATTTGTTTCAGCTTATAGAGCTGTTTGTGTTTGCTTAGACAGTCAGCCGAAGCCACGATTGAGAGAAATAGAGGTTGCGCCGATCACGGTACCGCTATTCCTCTCTCAGTGAATTTGACAGAATCGTTGTTTGTATGACGTCAAACTTGTGCAACTTGTTCACGTTTTCCTTGCAACATTTTTTCTTCTTCTTCCATTCTTGCTCACGTTTATTGAATCATGAAGTTTGGTTTATTCTCATTTTTTGCTTTTGCTTTATTCCTTTCTGCGTAATTCTCGCAGTCGAAAGCAACTGTTTAAGCAAAATTTTAAAATTTAGCTGCGCATTACATCAGATATCGCTATGTACGTAAAAACATACATGCATATTTATGCATATGTGTATGAAAGTACTCGCGAGAATAACGAAGCGGGAGATAAGCTAAAGCAAGACTACCCATAACTTACTGCTTGCAGCAGCAGCAAATTCTTCTAAACTGGTTGCTTCGGCTGACTGTGGAAGCAAAAACAAACAGCAAATGATATCATTTTTCTTTTTCGCTTTTGCTGTCTGCTTTTGCATATTTATTAGTGTTAGTCGTAGCTAAGCAATTGCAAATGCATTGAAAATGATCAAGAGCTGCTTGCTTTTAAAAGCTAAAAAGTGTTGCTTATGCTATTTTGCAGTCAGCAATTCAAACCTTGGTTGAAATACAGCAGTAGAACAGTATCCAAACATTGTATTGGTACGTTTTCGAAGTTAGCCTCTATCTTTCGAAAGAAAATTAATTAAAATGAAGGCATTGTAATTACAAGTAATGATCCAGGCATGTTTCTGTAAGAATTACAGAGTACTTCTCTACTAAGCCTGAGGCTGCTCTTTTAAAGTTGTTGTGATAATTCTATAGTAATATTCACCAAAATGGAGCAAGTGGTCTAGCACTATGGCGAAAGGGTAGATAAGCTCAAGCAATGACCGTTGTCAACACTTGCCACTTGCTCACTTTGGTGAATACTACTTATATAAAATATACATATGTATGCTAATATCAACTTACTGTGGATGTTCCGTTTTTACCGTACATTAGCCCAAATTCTTCATATGGTAGCTTTTGTTCTTTTGGAACAACGTCTTTAGCCAATTTAAGAAGAGGGTCTTCATAGCCCCATAGTAATTGTCCAACAGAGACTTGCACAAAAGGTTTAATTTTTAAAATATCCATTATACTGGCCATTGCTAGTCGCAAAAATCTAAAATATAAATTAAGGAAAGTTATACTTTTTTATTATAATACCGTGCGACAAAACCCAAAAAATTTCGAAACACACGAAACAATCAATATACTAACAAAACCATGGACCAAATATTGTAAAATTTTTTAATTCCACA